AATGTCGCGTTACTTCTGCCGGAAAATTCCGCTCCGGGAAAACCGTGGTATCGGCGTGGCCGAAGGAAGCGCGAACAGGGAACGAATGAATTATCAAAATAAACCCTCGATCCCGAGTGCTCGCGAAACTGGATACAAACTGTTACAACTGGCTGCAAACTGTAATCCACGCTGCAGAATTTCACGCGTCGAAGCGCCGCGGATTTTTTCGTGAAACGCTGCAAACGCAAACGCCGAGTTTCTCGGGTGGAAGAAGAAAGTTCGCTAAACGTACGCTCGGACGTGCCAGCGATCGTCTTTCATCTTTCGAAATTAACATTACGTCCGTATCGTCGTTGCTGGTACGACAATGTTCGCGAAGGGAACACAGTTTCTAACTTCAACGCTCGCGTTGTTTCTTTTTACTCGTCGATTTTCGTAGTCCTCGCAACCCGGTCCTCGTTCCGAAAGAATTTCTCCTCTCGCCGGTTGTCGGTCGGCCGGCAGCGAGGCCAACGGTCCCAACGTGTGACTGTGAGGTAACGCGATGCCATCTCGACGCGCGCCTGATATCTCGGAGGATATTTTTTCCCCACCCTGCCATTCCCGATCGACGGATTGACTCGTCGTTACAACCGGTTCGGTACACGCGGATTTTTCCGCCGCGGCACGGACTGACGCAATTCTTTCGACATACACGGCCGCGTGCCCGCGCGCACGCTCGAGCCGTTCGCTTCGGGGCATCGGAACAAAGATGCATCGTGGTCCACCATGGCCAGAGAAACTAGGCCACGTAACCGTCCCCCGTCTCCCAGCCGCTCGCCGACCACCGCCGGCCTCTCTGTTCGCGCTTGTTCCTGTCCACTAGACCCCGCGAAACCGCGACTTCGTAGCTAACAAAGTTTGCGGGCGTCGCCGGGTTCGAGTACCGTCAACGATTTCTACGTATAGACAGGGACACGACTCAAAAACCAAGAAACCCTCTAAAAATCTCCTCCTAATTAACCCTCTGCACTGCGATTTCTTTCGCAACTATATGTAACTAAATCCTCGTTTATAGTTCGTTGGGAAAAGAATCAAGTATGCTTATATTCTGTCTATGTTTAAACTATAATTGGTAACAAAAGAATGATTCATTTAGACTCGGAATTAAGTGGCTCACGAGTCTAACACGATATTGTTTGACTTATTTACTGTTAACAACGTGGGTCAAAAGTGACCCAGTTAAGGTGGGTTAAGAATTGTATGAGGTTTCTTATTGCAGGTGTTTCTCATAGTCGTTTAAACTGAATGGAAATTAAAATCATCTTAGTGCACTCGACAAGAATTTGTTTCTAATGAGATTGCATCAGTTTTGATATCGTCACCCAGGAAATTACATCGAGTTTGCGTTAAAAATATATTTGGTACGTTAGAAGAGTCCCGCCCAAGATTAAACCTTGAACGTGCCACTGCCCCCGGATTAGGAACGATAGCGCTCCGACCCGGCCGGTTCTGGGTCGGGTTCGCGCGAGCACGTAGGTACGGAGAACGCTAGGAGAACGGTACGACGCTATAGATTTTCTTATCTTCCGGCCACCGGTGGGATTGAGACGTCCCTTGATTAGTTACGACGGGTACACGTTCGGAATTGGCGCAGCGCTCGCCCCGGATAAGTGCTCGCCGGTCGGGTCCGACCGCGAGCCTTTATCGCGTGGACCGTACCCGGTATTCTAGCATCGTGCTCGATGACGTACAGGCAGATGGAGAGACTACGGGAAGTCATTGCATGCTCTACACTTTATAGCATCAACGTTATAGAATACTTTGCTCCTAAATAATTAGGAGATAACGATTAGAGGTTTATATATTCCTGAGAATTTTATGTTTAACATTCAAAAAACTGACGAATCATGTACAAACATTGACGAGTAACGAAAAACATATGCCTCGTAAACTCGCGTTCTTTCTTAAATCCTTGTTACTCGATGTTAACCGGATGGCGACTCTTAGTCATTTGATTTGACTTTAAAACCATAAAATCTGATATTTAACGTTGAACTTCCTATAGTGCCTTGATACGTGAAACATTGGGATAAAATAGTTCCTCGATGTATTTCTGATTTCTCTTCCAAAAATGTTAAACATTTCTAGTGAGAAACTTCCGAGTGCAAACGGTTAATATTGTTCAAACGCATCTGTTGGTAATGTAAAAAAATGTACTTGTATTTCAGGCTGGGTCACAATTGACCCGTCACCGAACTCCGAATCGTTACCGGAGAGTCGGTCGCTCGGAGGTTAGAGTATCGATCTGTGATTCGAAACGGGATCGGTTGTGCCCGGCAATCTCCTTCTTATCGCGGCCGGATGAGATCGATTTGTCGGTGGACAAGCATTCTGCCAAGATGAAAATAAAAGAAACGGAGTGGGGGAGATGGGAGAAAGGCAGGAAGAGTCTGAACGGCGTAGGCAAGAAACGTATTATTTTCTTGCGGCTCGTCCGGGAATAATTGGATTATAAAATTTTTTTCGCACGGGTCGCTTCCGTGCCGTGTGAAACGGCCGAGGGCGTGTTATTAATGCCACGGCGGCAGCGGCGGCGGTTTGGTGCTTTTTCGTTAGTCGGAAGATATTCAATTAATGGCAGCGCGACACGACGATCACGGGGCAATTTCGAACGGACCGGTAGAGGGACAGAGTGAAACGGCCACCGGTTTCATCACACCTGAAACTCCGCTGGACGCTCGAATCCGCGCGTTACGATGCAACAATGACCTCATGAATAATTTAACGCGCGCCATTGTCTCATCGGTATGTACTAATAACATCACGTCAGTTGTAGCGCATCCGACACTGATTC